GCAACTGGACAGAATCGATATCGGCGTCACGAAAATTGTATTTTATCAATGAATAGGTATATTCCTATTATATCTGGAACAAAGTTTAAAAAAACTTTGAATTGATTATTTCTTTATGGTAATAATTTTGTAAGGAATAAATGTTAAAGAAATTAAGTTTCATTTGCCCGCGTAACAAATCATAAAAAAATTCGTACCTGTAGGATATTTGAGCATATACTAGAGGTTGCATAATGCATAATAAAGTTAATAATTACTCGCCTTGCTTGCTTCTCTCGTTCGGCTCATAATCTCAGACTAGTTCGATAAAGACACTGCTGACGTGGTCCATACAAACTTTTATCGCCAACCGTAAATAATTATAATTAGAGAGTTATTGCAGGTTCACTTATTTTTATTATTTTTAACCTACTTCAAAAAAGGAGAAGGTTCTCAATTCGTCGCGATTTTTTTTTTATGTATGTTCAGCGATAATTCTTTAACACGGTGTCCGATTTCGACGATTTTTTGTTAGAAAGGGGGTACTTCAGGGCAGAGCTGGGCACGAGTACTGAACAAAATACTCGTAAATTGTACGAGTACTCGAAAATGGTATTTATAAGTATTTTATTCGTAAGTACTTTCATAGAGATAGTTTACGGATACGAGTAGTAATCGTGAAAATACGAGTAAAGAGTTCGAGTAGTTTCACAAAATTAACCTAATAATTAAATAAATTATAAAAAAAAACAAAGAAAAACCACTATAATTTTTAAATAAAAATAGTCTTTATTTACCTAAACAAAACCGAAAACTATTCTAAAATAAATTTAATACAAAAACTTTGTTTAGAATATAAATAAAACAAACATGGTCAACTTGACAGTAAACAATTAATTACAGTTTTTTTAAACGGGTAATTTTTAACTTTGTAAAAACTCATCTTTTTGTTTCCCTGCTTTATCGTTATCGTGTTAAACCAAATCAATATTATTTCGAATACGCCTTCACACGCTGAAACAGAAAGATGGAGTTTCTGTTATTTTAAAAATTTTTAAACCGTTTGAAATCGTCCCCATGTTAAAAAAAAATTTTTTTGACTGCACCCGGAGATGGAAACAAAGTTTTTCGACACATATGTAGACGATAGAAAATAAAATTAATGACCGAATAAAACAGAAGGAACTTTTTATTTGTATAAAATTCTGCTACGGTCGGGAAATTATCCTTATTCAATTTAACGAAGATTGTGTATGTGTAGAGATTATAGACGTTTAATATTTAACCGTTCTCGTAGGAAACCTTAGTAGGAAACACATTCACACCACCACAAAACATCAAAAATAATAAAACGTAAAACGCCCACAGAACTGAAATTAGGAGAATGGATTTGACAGTTTACAAAAACGTTCCTACAAGGGGAATAAAATTGAGGTTTTTTGAGTTTGCGGAGTAGGTGCCAGACAAGGTCATAATTTGAAAAAAATATATAAAACAATGTTTTCAGAAAAAAAAAAATAACGTCGGGTTGTATAATACGCGGTTAATCGTCCCGAAAATTGTTTTTAAATGAATTAAATTAACATTTATTTTCAAATCACTTTCGTAAATGACAATTGACATGTCTGACAGATACTCACTGCGCAAACTCAAGCCTCAGTTTTGAATCTCTTTAACGCACAACGAATTGCTTTTCCCAATATTACCAACCCAAATCAGAGACCGTCGAACGCAACCGATGTCGTTTCGTGTCGTGATTCGTGATACTGGCGATCGATAGTAGCGACTGACGGTTAACATGCGACGATCAAAAAATGTCGAATACTCGTATTTTACAAGTACATTCTACGAGTAGGTTTAAATTTACTTGTAAGTACGAGTAATAAGTACTTCAAATTAAAAATACTTATAAGTAAAAATTACGAGTAGTTATTCTACTCGTAATTGAAATACGAGTAAAAGTATTCGAGTACTTGCCCAGCTCTGCTTCAGGGGTGGTCCCATATAAATTTGGTCAAAATCTAATAATTGGGTCCATGAGAAAATCCTCAAACTCTTCATTTTTTATGTATGTTTAGCGATAATGCTTTACCACCTTGTCCGATTTATATAATTCTTTTTTTTGTTAGTAAGGGGGTACCTCAGAGGTGGTCCCATATAAATTTGGTTAAGATGTGGTGATGGCATCTACACGTTTTTGAAGTCTTTTTAATTTTTAATTTCTAATACTTGTAACATCTCAGCATGCTAAGATCACTTACATTCTAGAAGTGACTTTAATAAATATTGTGCCTGTCCTTAATTGTGGATGTTTAGGGACAGCAGTTAGTGGCGACTTTATAGTTTTCGGGTGCGCTTGCCAACATTCGTATCAGTTCGAAGTTTATTAATATTAAATATTTAATATCATCGTCATCTAAACTTTCTAAAATGGTAATTTCTAATGCCTCTTCCATATTATGTACTTTTATAAACAACAAAAAAGATGAATTGTAATTTAAAATTTTTAAAATGAGGTTTAAATATGTAATAAGTCTTATTTTAGCATGGAATTTATTTGCCTCTAATTACGTTGTCACTATTAGTGGCTGACGCTATAGAAATTTGCAATATCTGTCTATTAATAAAAAACGAAATATTATGACACATTTTAGTATGAAAAAGAACAGAAAAATAAACAAAACAAATCAGTTATAGACTATTGCTGTCAGACGGTCATAGCTATGTTGATAAATATTAGCGGCAGATAAAATATTTGATTTTTACAGTGAGATAATGTTTTTGTTTACTTCTGCAAATCGCTATGGTAATGCAAGGCTTTAATGACGGTTGGCGATAAAACAATTTAGATAACTGGTGTGTTGGGTTGTTTTTAAAGGTATGTTGAGTGAGCAGCTCAACCGGTCGAAAACGTCTAGCGAAAAAGAAAACTGACCAACATGTCCGATGATCCATATTGTTCAGATCACAGACATTCGATTCCATATACAATGTCCAACTCGTACAGCAGGTTTAGAATCCCGAGAGAGACGAATTGGGAAGGGTACATAAAATCCCTCGAGGAGTCTCTCAAGGAGGAAACCACCAATGCATGAGAAACAAATATACTCAAAAGGATAGTGATTTGGTAAACAAGGCAATTACTGATGTCTACCAAGAAAACTTCCTGAAAAAGAGAGGTGCCAAACGAGGAAGACAGTCTGGTGGAATAAACAGTTGGATAGCCTGAGAGGCGAGGTGCGAAGGCTATTCAACAGATTAGCCTATTAAAAACAAACTTCACAGTTTTTTAAAACAGTTTATAAAGTATGTATGCCAAAAATTGGTGCCTGGTGGCTGGTCTTTTACTTCATTTGTATGCGGATCATGAATTTGAAATACTAGAACTAGTTTCGATTAAATTGTTCAGCGACCGGTCTGGCCATACAAGTCAGCTTCACCGTTAACTTAACGCAGCCTAAACACATTCATGGTATTAACTCAAAAGATGTGAATTTTGAGTTCTGTCACTTTTGAAGCAAATGTGCGATCAGCATTGTTTTGGTTATAGAGGAGTCAATTGGTGGTACTCTATTTCTATTGTTTAAATTATAGCCGAATTCGGCAAGTCAGGTCGATTGACTTCAATAGACCCATCCCGTTAATGATGATCTCTTCCCTTAAAATCATCTAAACTTATTGTTGTTTCCTACCCTGAATTCCAATTACACATCCACAAATGCCATTTTGTTTTATGCGTTTGATAGTATTGGTAGAGGAGCGCCAGTAACACTTTTAGGTGTTATTTACGAAAGATAAAATTAGAAATATTTACTTCATAGAACATGGAAATAGTTTGCGGTGCATCGATGGAGCCCTCAACGAACACGTTTTAAAAAAGAGCGTGTAGAAAATCCTGACATAGAAAGCAAACTTGAATCTTTCAGATGTTTACATGAAAAGTTAGTAAAAAGAGTTTGCCGCCACCTTCTTGAATTTCGGCTCACAGTACCTTCTACAGGGTAAGAATTAACGATACGTTTTCTAGATTCAAAAGTCCCGTGCTTTTTTTCGCTCATGAGTAATGCGAGATTGTTGAATAATGGGAAAGGTGGATTTTTTCGTTATTAACTTATAAAGTTATTTGATATAGGTAGGTATGGACTGAAATTAGTTGTGGAGTGTAAAGAATAGAAGTAGTTCACTTGTCAAAAGCAGCATAAAACTCTTCAAAGTTAAGTGAACATAGGCGTATCTAACAATAGTCATTCATATTGTCAGATAATTATTTAAAAAATAATTTAGTAAAAGTAAAAAAACATTTTGACACTATAAAATGTTTCTATTTAAGTATATTTGTAGGTTTCCTTCCTTCCGATTTTGACAAACCATTAAGAACTACCTATACTATATTTTTTTAATATTTTGTGTTGATATAACTGTATACATAGTAGTTTATTATCTAGGATGTTAGAAAAGGGTGTCATAAATGTACCACATATTTTGCACCAATATGTCAATCAGATGTAACTTATGAACATAAGTTTACATAAGAAGGTATACAATTTAAAAATCGTTTAAATCCAATAGTTTTATCATAAAAATAGGCAACTAACTTCATAGATTAATAGTAACTGTCCCAGAAAAAAAAAACGAAAAATATCAACCTCTTGAAAATTTTATAACTAATCGACCTAGTTTTGACACCAACATATCTTATAGTTTATTCATCCCTAGAATATTTTTGAGTAAGGTTATGGGCTGGCCTATAGTTGAATAACGAAATAATAAACAGTATTTTAATGCCAAGAATGTGTGAAGAATGCTGACAGAGATGCCATATATTATGCATATGCAATATATGCTCACCACTGAAAAGTTGTTTAGTCCAGTGTAAACACACAAAAATTTCTCTCGGAGATATATGTTTGTCAGACATAAATCTCATGCAATAAATGTCAGATGTAAAGGTACCTTAATATGCTCGAAGTGTAGGACTAGTTTATTGTGATGCATTAAATTATTAATTTATGTTTTTGTAGACTGAAACATTCAACCGACCAGCCCCACAAGTGCGACGTTTGCGAGACAGCTTTTAAAAGACCGGATCATTTAGCCTTTCATAAACTCACTCATAATTTTTCTGATCCTAATAGAAGGACATACGGTAGACCGATCGATAATCCAGGTGAGAGTTCAAAATTGACATAAATTTTAACGATATTTATTTAAACTTTGTGTTAGGAAAACTATACCAGTGTCCATTTTGTTCTGCGTCGAGCAGTACCAAACAATTATTAATTACTCATCTTTCTATTCACGCCAATGAGAGAAAATTCGAATGCAGATACTGCGGTTTGAAACTATCCAGCATGAGAACGAAAGTAATTCACCAAAAAACTCATGAGGCAGATCCAAATAATCAGTTTGTGTAAGTGAAAACAATTATTTTTTGTTGTATATTGCACCATAAGAACAAATAAATATATTTTATTGCCCAAACTACAGATTTGATTTAAGGTTGTGATCATATTATATTAATTTAATAAAAAACAAATTAGAAAATATTTCTAAAAAAAAAATAGATCTAACAGCAATTAATTACAAATATTTTTTTTATTTAATTACCAGTATAATGAGAATTACCAATATAATTATTAGGGTTAAAAAAGGAATATTAAAATCTATTTAGTTTAAGATCAAAATCAAGAAATAATATAATTTCTTTTTCTTGTGATTTGTTGAAATGCACATTGAAATAAATTTCCTTTCATTCTACTTAAAATCGATGTACTTTTCAACCCTCTTCGAGGCTTGTATGCGAAAATGGGGCACCTAAACCGGTCACTATCTGACTGTCTATTAGCAAATGTCCAAAAAACTAACCATTTAGTCAGAATTTGCGTTTTAATTTTAAATTGCTCATATCTTTAAAGTAAGTCAAATTCGTGAATTAATAATTATTTTTTAGAAGAAAACGTTTATTAAAAGTAAAAAACAAAAATAACGGCAATATTTTAAAACAATAAATAATTGTTCAAAATGTCTATTTTGACAATACACAAGTTTATTCGTTTTGCAGAAAATTATTATTTCCAGCCTCCCTTTTAGCCAAAAGCCTACAAAATGCTTCCTTCAAAGGGTAATCTCTTGGTAAAAGTTTTTGAAACCTTCGGTAGTGATAGGGATGTAATTGTTCTCTCAAAACTTCCCATATAGTAGTTACAGATATATTTGATAATCTTCGAGTGCTAATGGTTGGATCATTGGAAACTACAATCAAAATTTCTTCTTGATTTTCTACTGTTCTAATAAAATTAGTTTTTCTTGAAAAAAATCATACCGGTATCTCCCTACTTCTTCTTTCAACATGACTTAACCCTTTGTTGTCTGACGGTACTCCTAAGTACCGTCATTTTCGATCCTCAATATAATTACACGGAGAGGGCTTGGGTGCTTTATAGCTTGACGGTATGTGGACGTACCATGAATATTGCGATAGACAAGCTCGGCTTGAAACTGACCGTGCATCGTTGCTGACAGTTTAGTTGTCTTCCTACCGACGTATAGTGAGGGAGCATAAAAATAAAGTTGAGCCTTTCGTGTTATTGTTTTGTACTGTATATTGAAAAGTAAGTATATATTTTTGGTACATTGTAATGAAAGACGTTTTATAAATATAATCTTGCAAGTTTCATTTAACAATTTGATACCAAATGTTATAAAATTTAACTTTTCAATTCCAGAAGATATGAGGTTGGCTAACCGAGGAAATCATTGGCTAATCTATGAACAAACTAGAGGTCGGTGTGAAATGTGCAGTCGCAAAAATGTGCAATCTCGCCCACATTCTAAGTGCAATCTGTGCAATGTATATTTATGCTGCAACGAGAAAAAAACTGCATGGCAGAATACCATGAAATCAAGAACTAGTTCTTATTTTTTATTTGTTTTAATTATTTTTTAAAATTAAAAATAAATATTTGCAAATCAAATTAAATTTGTGTGTCTAATCCATAATTTTGTTGTCAAATAAATGTTTGTAACTGCCTGACGGTACTTATTGGTACCTCGATTGGTACCGGTTATTAAAAAAAAACTGACAAAGAAAAAATTCAAAAAAATTAATTTGAGTATTTTTTATTCATATTGGATCAGCTGTTCACTAAAAATAGGTTTTTTTTTGTTTTATTCTTAGTCCAGGCAACAAGGGGTTAATGCATTTTTAGGTGGTAGATTTATGAATTTTTGACTATATTCCTAACTGCCGCAGTGGAATGTCGTAAACATTCTCCTAATGTCATCAACATAATCGGTATATTCGTGTCAAATGTGTATATTTCCATATTGTTTATATTTTTGTTTTTAGCAAACAATATTATGATTCAGGTTTTAAAATAGAGCGATAAATAGTAATTCGCGATATTAGTGTGACTCAATAATGGTTCCACTGATAGTTAAATTTAACCAAACTTTTAACAAAAATATCATTAAATTTGACATATACGTTGTTACTGTTCATATATTTTTTTCTTAATATTGTCTGCAGGTCATAAAAAATAGTTTAAAGATATGTAATTGGTAACCAAACGATTATATACTTGATGCATGTTATCTACTTACTTTAGAAATATATTTATAAAAGTTTAAAAACTTATATAATTTAGGTAAACAAAACGAACAAAATGCACTTAAAGAGTCTGTTGTCACTGTAATTGTCAGTGGAACCATAATTACATCATCACTAATTTAGCGTATTGTCAAACAATGAATAATTATCGCAACTGTGAAATGTTTTAACAGCCTACTGAAAATGTGATTTACTTAAAAAGACAAGCAAATTAAAACACAAATTCTGACAAAACGGTTCGTTTTTCCGACATTTGCTAAGAGTACCTTTTTATTGCAATTTTGAAAATATAAAAATATATAAACCCTAATTACCCTTACGATAATATGGAAAATACATCCTCATATTCCTAGTTTTCATAATTTCGTATAGCGAATTGGGGATTATAATATTTTCATATTTCCAAAATTGCTTTTTCACTTTTTCTCACTTTACATTTCTTTGTTACCTTTTGAATGTAAAAATAACTGAAAAATCATAATTTGAATTTTGTCTTTAAAAAAAATTATAAAATAGAAAAAAGGAAGAAACAACCCCTCAACTCTTATTTACCTATTCAGACAGAATTTTTTGGAAAGTCGACTTAAATGACGTAATTTAATCTCTAAACAACCTTTTAAAATTTGATTTCAATCGGTTAGCAAGTTTTTGAGATATTGTTGGAAAAGTATCAACCTTCACCCCCTTCGAAGGAATATGCCATTCTTATTATGCGTTTTCAGGCATATTTTTATAAAGTAAACTGATATTAGTTTTTGACGTACTACAGATAGTTAATCTGGTCTTTATGAAATACCCTGTATAATTATCAGTAACACATCATATATTTAAATATTTGTTCATCATTCAGATTGTTAAATTTATGTAATTTTAATGTATAACTTATTTTTTAGATGTATGACATGCTGGGAGAAATTTTTATCCGAAGAAGATCTAAAAACGCACGAATTAAAACATACTCCGAATTTAAAACGGTACAGTTGCTGCCTTTGCGGTGCTAAATTTTATCGAAAAATGCTGCTAGAAAACCACCTCTTGGATTTACATATCAAAGGCCCTGATGCTTTGAATGAGAACGTAGACAAAAGCACACAAATAGTTAATGCCCAATGGAAAAATAAGGACGAACAAATTGACGATGGATTGGAGGAAGGCGAGATAATTATTCAAGACATAGAAACTGTTGATGAGATTGTAGAAACAGATTTATATGAAGAAAACAAGATCGATGAGCACAGCAGTATGGAAGATAGGATAAATAAAGCTACGTTTATTATTATAGATGAAAAAGATGTTTGTACTGAAAAATTTTAATTTATTTTAGTTAGTTACTCTTTGTAAAATGCTTTTATTTTATCAAAGATTGATCTGTCAGATAAATAATTTTTATAAATATTTATGCTTTATAGTTAGAGTATTTAGCGTTAGATTGTCAGAGGAAGAAAAATTGTTTTAAAATTCATTATATCTAAGCATGTAAAAATACTTATACAATTTGTACACTATTATGGTATAGTTAAAAGTATATCTTGATAAAACTAAGAAATTACATTGTTTTTTTTATCGTAAAACAAATCGACTGGGTTACAAGCAACATAAATATTAAAAATGTAAAATTATGTCACATATACTTCTTTGAAATGTAAATTGAACGTTTTCTTTTATAAAATAACTATGCCGTGTTGCCAGTAGGTGATATGAAAGTCTCAACTAACAAATCGAAAAACGCTAGAAATATCCATAGGAAAAAACACGACCGAAGTGAGAAAAAGGCGTTAAAATCGGGCGACTTTTTTGAAAACTGGTGACTTCTGCATAACTACACAAAAACACTATGATAAAAAGGTTCTACTATATTTTTTAAATTATAATAAAGTTAAGTGCAAAATATAGGAACACAACTTGCTAATAAAGAAATATAAGTACCATGTATATTTATTTAATACACTTCAATATTTTTTATTAAACATGTGCCAGAAACAAACATAAACAAAATTCTAAGTTATTAACAAAATGGATATACTTTTCAAAATAAAATTATTTAATATTTAACATTCTTGTGAAGAGTTTATTGAATTTTTATGGATCTATATGTGTTGAATTAGGGAATGTTCATTTTTTAGTTATTTTGGAAGCTTTTCTAAAACATCAAAAAGAGTATTCTTCATGAAATACAATTATATACAGATAATATTCTTCCAGTTAAAGTACGAGGTCACAGCGATGTTTATGGCATGAATGTAGTGTCTCATCTCGGTAATCTTTCGTTTTATTGTACAATAAAAATAATACCAACCATTTTAAGTTTTTGCATGCAGAACCGGGCAATCGTATGTATTAATATTCCCAATCATAATTTATTTTCATGAATATGAATACGCGAAATAGTTCCGCGGCAAAAACTGTCAAATCCTGTGATAGAACTACGAAAGTACTGTTCAACTTCTGTCTGCCTTTTACGTTTTGTATTATGAATCTGAATATACCATTGAACTATATAAACAGTTTTGCCATATGTCCTAGATTGCATGCTCTTTAATTTTTTTTGTTAGGCAACAAAGCTGGTACATTTCAGTCCTTGTTCATTAGCGGTATTTGCTAAATCGTTGGAATTGTTTTATATGTATCTGTAATAAGATGTGGAACGCACTGTAACTAGACGTGTCACTTATCAAGTTAGTCCATTAGGCAATCCAAATCCATGGTACTACGAACCGTGATCCAAACCCACTCCAAATCACATGAATTTAAATGGTGGACACTTGGAAAAAACTACAAAATTACGTGTTTTCCTCGACAAAAACACTTCTAGTGCGCTTATTATAGTCTGAATAAAAGTGGAGATATAACGTTACATTCCATAGGCGTATTTTGCAAAATAAGTTTCTATAATATAAATAAGGTCACGGCATATAACATGGTATATTCGTACTTCGTAGATTAAATTTGAATGAAAAAAAGTTATATTATTTACAAAAAATAAAAATAAACATTATGCTTCTGACAAAATTGTTGCACTTTAACATTGAACTAATTAAATTTAACCAATAAATAACAAGGAGGATTATATGTTGGTAATGGGATTGAACTTTTTTTGATCTCTTGGCATTAAAAGTAACTTCAGTACCTAAAATCAAAGAATAAAAAAACACAAAGTGCAAGAACTATCTTTAAAAGTCACTGATGTCTTCACTATAACTACTGTATCATTGTCTTTTATCAGGTTTATTATTATAGGGTCCATTAAGTTTTCCATTGCTATATCCATTTCCCAAAATAAATTTTCCACCTTTTTAACATTATCAATGCATTTTTTCCAATGTTCTCCATTTACATCTGAAACTGCTTTCAAAAACAAATTCTCGAGAATGTTTTAATATCAATTTGATGAAACATAATTTTTGGCATTCGATGGCTTTAATCAATTGATTATTAATGCCAAAATTATGTAGAATGGAATTGTAAAATGTTCAAGAAATTTAGCAACAAAAATAGCAGAATATTAATCAAGGTCGTGTTATATTTGGGACGACTATTTCACTAGACCAAATATTGACTATTTCTCTAGATAAATAGTCGCTGATATTTGGTCTAGGGAGATAGTCGAAGATAAACAAAAACTGTTATTATGACTTTGAATTTACAATTATTTATATACATGGCATGTCATAGATTTTCATTTTACAGTTATACTTTTATAAATACATCTCCAACTATAATATTAATTAATTTATTGGTGGGATACACGCATTTAAAGATCCTACAATATTTAAAAGGCAAACCATATCTGTAACGTGTGGAGGGTGGGTTACCCCACGGCACTTAGGTCTCATTAGGCCCATTGTGCATCCTCCTGAGAAGATAGGCACCTCCTAGCTCGTGAGCCAGCCTACAGATTTAATGTAGTTGACAACGTCGCCAAGAGGTGCTTCTCTTATATCGGTCGGTGTTAGCCGATACTCGCCGAAGGCAAATCATGTATTATTAAATTTTTTATACCACTGAAACAGTTAATAATTTAATCATTTATTTTTTATGCAGGTTTCCAACAAACTGTGAAACAAGGGAAATTTGAATACAAAATCTAGAATTAGAAGTGGATAATCTCAATAAAATTAAAAAAACAATCGAAGTGATTTTTTTATTAATCTTGTTGGGAAGATAAATTTAAAGCGAGAAGCAATCCCTACGTTATTCAAACCCCAACCTGGTCCTTCTTCAGAAGGCAAATTATAACAATGTTTGGTTTTTCTCATTTTAATAACATGGATTTTCATCAAGTAAAGGCCGAAACTATCAAAAAATTAAAAGGTATTAAATACTTAATATAGCCTATAAGTAAATACAAACAACGTAAACAGTAAATCACAAATAAATAATGTTCATATGTCTTCGTCAGATTCTTCGTTGGAAGAAGACTCGTCACTGGAATCCTCATTAGGATTAATGACGATAGGATTAATTTCCGAACATAAATCAGTTTGTATTTCTCTTTCAAAATATTTATCTTCTACCTTTATAACATGATCGCATCTCTTTTTCCATTCCTCCATACCGATTTTGTTAAATTCTTCTGCTAATTGTTTTACGTCTTCTAATTTAAAGGTAACATTCCTTTGACTGACATTATTCTTAACAATCGCCCAAATCAATTCGATAGGGTTCAAATCGGGGTGATATGGGGGTAACCGTAAAGCGGTGTGGCCGTATTCTCGACACAACTCATCAAATGCATATGTTATATGTCGGTCCATATGAGATTTAATCAGTTCATATAACTCTGGTTTCAAACTTGTTGGATTAAAAGGTATGTTGTATTATTTTGTCAACCATTCGATCATATCATTCTTCAAAGAATTGGAATAAGGTGCTCGATTTGTCTGTACATTGTGATAACTAGCATTATCACAAACAATTACTGAATTAGGTGGAAGATTAGGTATTAACTTCTCTCTTAACCATTTGCCGTAATTTTCCGAATTCATTTCGGAATGATAATCTCCAGACTTGGTCCCTGATTTAAATATCAACAAACTATTTTTGATAAAACCCATTTCTCCCCCACCGTGAACTATGATAAGCCTTTGGCCTTTCGAAATAACAGAAAACAAACCTTTTGTTGAATCGTCTGTCCAATTCTTGGAAGAAGTATGTCCGCTGTGTATATATGTTTCGTCTAAATAAACGATTGGTCTATTTTGACTTCTAAAATATTTTATCTGTCTTAAATATTTTACTCTTAAAGTTCTTATTTTCATTTTGTTCCACCAAAACTTTACCTGTAAAAACGTAATATTATATTAATGTTAAATTTGGTATTTTTTTACATTTAATAGGAAACAAAATTTTTTAGAAATAGAAGATAAATTTTAAAAATTTAAATATAAAATGCATAGATATGTATGTAAAATACAAAAAAATATGGAAAACTACGCAAGTTTAATTGCAAATAAACTACTGAGTATGTTTACCTGTTGCTTGTGCAGTTTGATATCATCTAATAAGTAACTCCTTCCTTTTTTGTTGCGTCAAAATATTTAAAAACATTGAATATGACTTCACGACTTTGTCCGTTAATAACAGATCTGCGCTTTTTTTCACCCACAATAGAAGACATTATCAAAAATAAAACCAGTCACTTTAACCAAAACACAGAAACAATGATCTAGTCGTTACGCTACTGACTGTAAGCAAGGACAAGGTCCAAATTGTGAATGTGCGTGGCGATTTTTAAGTAAACGAATTTGAACATTTGCGCTGGTTCTTCAGATGTGGCACTTACTGTACCTAATTCTTTTTACATTTTAAACTTAGTGATTAAATAAATAAAATTCCTGTTTTGTCAAGTTTAGTTCAGAATAAATATACGATTTTTATCCTGTTAAATTTATTAGTTAATAAGTACATTAACAAAATGCCAGGTAGCAGACTATCATTTTAATATTCAGGGTACATGTGTTGCCTAACGTATTTTAAACAAAAAAATGGCTTATTTTTGTACATCTCAAGCAATGAAGCAATTAGGGATTGCCTGTGGAAATTAGAATAAAGCTACAAATTGGTATATTGATCCAATTCGATGTCCTGATGGCCCCCCTTTAATAACCCCAGGCTATGTCTTACATTTTTTTTTTTAAATTCGATTTTTGGAGAACGTTGGGCAGTCTTCATCTAAAGGATTTTTTTTTTGACAAAAAACCTCACATGAGTACTACCCTAGTATTTATAGTTTACCCTCTACAGTGTTCTGAAGAGTGGCATGTCATGTTGTACGGATGGTCCTCGTATTGAAATAATTTAAAAAATCGCATTATACCTAAATTAATACACTACAATAGGTTTTTGTTGGAGTAGATAGCTTGACAAGGGAATGGCGAGCGCTTAAAATCGGCAGGTTTGTAAATTTCATCAAAGTTACCCCTACTTTGTTACACTTTATAATTTCACTTGAAAACCGATTAGACAAAAATGGTTTCTGACAATCAGATATTTAGTTTAGTTCATGTTTCCCAAAAGGTGTATTTTTAATCCCAATAATGTATAACTAAGATGCAATTAAAAGCCTGTGATCATAGATCAAGACAAAAGCTGAAATTTTGCAGATACAACTTAAATACATGCTCTAATGAACATATTCAAATTTTAAATCAAATCCTATGCTAGCTCATTTCAAGGAATTTAATTCAACTTTTCTATTTAAGATTTTTTTCTAAGATTGATACTTTTGCAGTTAGATATTTATCTTTACATGTGTCTCCCTGTCTCCTATTACATTATACATATTAGAAATTAAATGGGAGCATGTTTTATTGCGGCTTTCATTTTTTTTTTGTGTACAAAAATTCTGAGGACTTGGTACTAAAATGTATCAGGCCAAAAAGAAAGACAATATAGATTTTCTTAGATATTGTAGAAACACTTTATATATCTACAAGTTTTCCATCTGACCTTTTGTTCAAAATGTATTGCAATCCAGTTATTCATTATTAGCTAAACAAGCTATCATACGACTTGATTAAAATTCAAATTTCAGCACTCTACAACAAATTTTAATTTTTCCAAATTTCTGGAAAGCATTTTTCTAATCGGCTTTCAAGGGATAAATTTGATGAAATTTACAAACATCAGCCAATTTTGAGTGTTCCTTAATTGTCAAGCTATCGATTTTAACAAAAAACTACTGTAAAGTGTTTTTGTTCAGGTACAGTAACAATTTTGTTTAATACGACCTTTTGTTCGGCACATAGCGCTCGCGACATGAAAAGTGTGTAAAATATGGAAGTGTGACCTTCAACGGGAAGACTTGCCTCTTTTTAAAACGCTCTAGAGGGTAAACTATTACTACTACTATAAGGTAGTACTCTTGCAGGATTTTTTGTCACAAGTATCCTCTAGAAGAGGACTATAAAAGAATTTTTAATATTAGATTAGCTTTTTTTTTCACAGGCAAATCTACATCTCCTGGCTCAATAGGTTTCATCAAGATTTTTATTACTATTGTGTTTCACAATCCACACAGGAACCCAAAGTTAGAAAAAAAATAGAAAGTTAATGAATTTGTGTAATTTTTTTTATAATAGCTGAATTTATTTTTTGTAAAATAAAATTTTGTTTGATTTGCATTTTTCTTTGAATCCATCCTTTACAAAATGTTTAAAAAACAATCCTTTAGATTTTAATGAAAAAAATACACTATTGCATAATCAAACTGTCAAAGGTCTTTGTATATTTGCTTCAAACAAAGCATATGAATAGTACAGGGGAAAATAGACTAGAGTCCATTTTGATTACGCAGTGGTGTATTTTTTTTTTGTTAGAAACTGAAGGTTTTTTTTTAAATATTTTATAAAGGATGGATTTAAAGAAAAATGCAAATTAAACAAAATTTCTATTTTTTCTTACGTTGGGCTCCTGTGTAGATTGTGAAATATAATAGAATAAAAATCTGGATTAAACCTACTAGGCCAGGAGACGTATATTTGCCTGTGAAAAATTAGAATAAAGGTAATCTGAAATTAAAAATTCTTGTCCTCTTCATCTAAAAATGAACTAGCACTGCCATCTTGTAGTTTTGGACACAATCTTTCTGGTATGGCCAGAGTTTGAATAAAACAATCACAGTATCTGTATTTTACTTAAAATTAAAAGCCACAAAAAATATGAGTCTATAAACTTTGTTCTACAGAAAGTAGTTTTTGTGGCCCTGATCATTTTCCCCTGTGCTCTTCATATGTTAAAGGTTGCCTCTGATCTATGTTTTCTTTATGCGAGGAACCCCATTTTAAGGGTTTAATCAAATTTTTGCAAAATGATGTACTAGTGTTTGTTTTAATATATGAACAAAAGCTATTTATTATTAAATTTAACATTCAATCTGAATCAAAGTCCATAGCAGGTGTAGCATCTTCTACATCTCTACACTTAGCATGTTGTAGCTCCCTACGAATTTCAGGTGTAATAGCAGGATGGCTCTGTTTCTTCAATAATTCTAGTAAAGCTTCACGTTGTTCTGTAGATATGTCCGCTTTGTATCTCTGAACAAAAGTAAGCAGAGCTTGATGCCATAGAACTGGTAATTCTCTAGTATCCATCTGGAATCTTACAAAATGTAAGACGCAAGCATCCACCACCCTATAGGGTAAAGCATACTTTTTATCAAGAAGTATTCTTAAAAATATCGAATTTGCTCCAGTATAATCCATTTCTGCAATTTTTAAAAGTGCTGCTGATGAATGCAAAATTGGTACAGAATTTTTAGCTAATACAGATCCAATTATAATAGCTTCTCTTAAAGTGCAGTTCCCACTATCCAACAATGGTAATAAAATTCCTTTCATAAAAGCTCCAGGTTTGAACAAAGACTTCCTCAGTGCTTGATACAAGTGGAAGTTCAGCCTCTTATACTCTACTAAATCATCTCTAATCCTGGGAAGTAAAACTAAGTTGTAGAACCTTTGAGCCATGTTTTCTTTTAAGTTAGAAGCAAAGATTCTGGTTGCTTGGTACATAGCAGCTGCAGACCAGGTAGGTGGTTCTGTTATATATAAAATTTGTTCCCAATTTTTTAATTTCGGTATTATTTTGAATGCTTTTGGAAGCTTTCCACTTCTGTACTTTTTTAGGACATCTTTAACTCCTTCATACATTTCTTTAACTTTTGGATCCAAATCTTGCATCTACAACAAACATCTGATTTTTTTTTTCAAAATTACTTATTTTATTGTAGTACCCTACCTGTAGAGAACCTGCATCTGTGAAGTGTGTATCAAGTTCTGTTTGTTTTTCAGTAATTTTCTCCATAATAATATCAGCTAATGTGCGACTTGGTAAAGGATTTTTACTCATAAACATGTTGATGGCTCTTTCATCTTCCTCATTAATTTCAATATTTTCATAAAAAGCATCTCCATCGCTAACATTGTCATCTATTTCATTATCAGATTCTTCATCTGTGTCCATTTCAGAAAACTTAACATTAATTTTATCTCGGACCGGTTGAGATGAAGTACTGCCTTCTTCCAATTCGCGTTGTTGAGAACGAGCAGCAGAAATAATTTTTCGAGACAAGTTTGAGTCCACATACTAAAATATATTTTTAATTTTATAATATAAATAAAAAAACTTAATTTAATTACGGGGATGTATAAAACTAGGCAACTTACTTGTTCTTCATCATCTTTTCTTAGTCGAATTTTAGTTCTATTTTTACTTTTTGCAAATTTTGCGTTTTGAATATCTTGTTCTAAAGGCACATTTTTAAAAGACTGATTTGAATGTTTTTTAAGCTTACCCATTTTACATTTGGGTAGAGTTTAAAATTTTAAATTATTATCTGCAAGTTTATAAGCTGTAAAAAACAATACATAAAAGTATTCTGTGACTGTATTAAATATGATAACCACACGTGTTTTCCTATTTTGATAAACTGTCAACAGTTCTGTTTTTGTCAAATAAATGTCATATGTCATTCATCATTTTTGGACAAGTTCGGCTTGGAACTCGACGGATTGGCAGAACGCGCACGGAGTACGTGACGTCATAGACAGAGTTCACTCTTTTTATTGCCGCGTTTGAATCAGATGGTGAGTACGAAAAGTACAAACTTTTAACAGTTTTTGCTGTGACTATTTTTTTCAACTAGCATTCTGTCTTCAAGCATATAAAAGGTCTTTTCCTTTGCATCGAAAGTGTAGCACTGAGCTACTCCACTTCTGAAAATATCGTTCCATCCATACAATTTGTATAAATGGAACGATATTTTCAGAAGTGGTGTTGCTCAGTGCTACACTTACGATGCAAAGGAAAATACCTAAAGAACGCTAGTTAAAAGACACGTCAGAGCAAAAAGTGTGTACTTTCCGTACTCGCCAACGGTTACATTTCAGTGGTTTGAATTTTGAATAACGTGTGTCTTTTTATCCAACTGTTGCAGCAACGTTGGCATCGGTGCGGTATCTACCTGTCTTTTATTTCATCAATCTATCAATGATGAACTAACAGCGCTGTCTTTTTATCCAACGTTGATGCAATCGATGCAACACACATACTTTGATATGTGATGCAACACCATTCCATCCTCAGAGTAAGTAGTAAAGAGAGGACAGTATAGACAATGTTTGTGTCGCCATGATAATATGGTCGAGAATTCTAATTAGAGAGAAATATATTAATATCTCTATCTCTTTATTTGTATTTGTCAGTTTGACAAAGCTTTTCTCAGACAATTATTCCAGTGTTTAATTTAAATTTGTTCGTGTTGTGGTGATAAAAGTAATTGTTAGTAATAATATATTCATAACAAAAAAGTAATATTTTGTTTTCATTTCATTAAAAATGCACCTACCTACCTTTTAAAACATTTTATTTTATATTCTACTTGGTCAACATTTTCGCATTAAAAATGACCCAGCGAAATTGTTTTACGGTACGCTACTGCTGAGAATTCTAAAACGAGTGAGAAAGCCTTCATTAGAAAGAGAGATACTGATTATATGATAGCGACATTAATATTGTATAACTTTATGCAGTGGTGGCCTATCTGCTATTATATTATCTAAGATTCCATCATTTCATTATAAATAATGAAAGGTCAATTTGACAATTCATTATTTATATTTTTTTAGTTTTAAAGTATCGTAGTTATTAGGCATTCCAACGACCTGTCCAAATGGCTACCAGTGGGTAATGGCAGTTTAGATATGGCAACCCTGTTGTCATGTTGTCATTAACAGGGTCAATGATACATATATAGTTATATAGATTGCTCAAAGCTGGTCGTTTACGAGCGGCCATATTGTCTGGCAAATATTTATTAATTTGAATCGGTTTAGCAAAAATGTGTTTTAAAACCAATTATTAGCCTTTAGATATTTAAAAAAAAATAATTGCTTACATTTTTACTTCAAGGCATAAGCTTATGTTTATTTTGAAAAATATGGATGATCAATCTATGTAACTATCTATTTCATTGACCTTGTCAAATCACCAGACCTACAGGGTTGCCATAATTTTGCCATATCATAACCCGTCAAAACCCACTGGTAGCCATTCAGTTTGGAATGCCTAATTGTTTGTGTATATTATTTTGTAATTGACTTCAGCTTGTCCATTTTATATATTTACACTAAACTGAATAATACCACCAAAATGAACAACCTTAATTAAGATTCTCCCTGATGATGGAAATAAACATTTCCGAAAGCTTGGAATAAACTTAAAAAAGTACTCTTTCATTTGCTGCATTACCCACAAAAAACTGGTTTAATTATTAACTAGTCAGCAACGACTATCAACTCTTTTATGGAATATATCAGGGGCTCGATTCTCGAGATCATTGGAAAATTTTCCCATGAGAAAATATTCCACTACTTATATTCCCATGGTAATAGGTTATGCAATTCTCGAACGTGTCGGAATAGACATTCCCATGGAAATAGTAGTTTCACGTATGTCTGATATTAAGTTCACGAATATTTCGAAACAACCAATAACATTAAAGATATTTTAAAATTTACTGTTGGCAATATTTGTATTTGTTGTGGTTTTTGGGTATCCGATTACCTGCCGAGCCTCCGCGCTGGAGCAGATGCCGTGCCGAGCAATCGCTATCATGATCGAGAATAAGTGAAAATATTCGATTACGTATAATAATTAAAACTTGTCGAGTTATTCTTAGTTTTTCTTTTCTCATGCTGAAAAAAGAAAAGGTAGCTTTTGTATGGAAGAGCAACGAAAGTTTTGAGAAACTAAGAAATTCTTTCATTAACGAAAATAATAAAATTTTCGAAAAGGTCTTATTTAATTTACTACACTCAATTTATGTTATTTGCCAGTCCCTTAGCAGCTCCCACAATTTCTAAATGATTTAGGAAAATCAGTTTATACAGTTTCTTAGTGAAAGAGAATTAAAAATAATATACCTACATAAATAAAATAATATCAATTTATAAATACGCCAAAAAAATGTTTTAACTACAATTTAACTAAAAATCCAAGATATCCAATATCCAATAATCTTTGGTTATGTCTTAGACTTTCGCGTGGTCTTTCGTCAAATTTTCGACTTTAATGCGCAAACTCTAGTACAATTCCCATTGGAAAATACAATTTCCAATGCTCGTAAGCAGGGGAATATTTTCCCATACTTCTCATTGGAAAATATTCCACCGCTTATGTCGAGAATACGAAAACTGAATTCCCATGGGAAAATTTTATTTTCCCATGGGAATAAAAGTCGAGAATTGACTCCCAGGGCTGGTATATCTAAGGGGGTCGCGACATAGACCCAGTAAATGGATGAGGGGGTGACTGAGGCTAGGGGGGAAATAGTAGTCAGCTTAAGTTGGCAACACTTTTCTGATGTTCGTTTGAACGAGCATCGTGCATAATAATGTCAATATGGTACAAGTGGAATGAACCACTGTTTTCCTCGTAGTCGTAATAATCTTTCCTCCATGAGTCGTAGTTCAATGTCGAATTAAAACTAAAAACATTTTGTACTTTTTTATATACCAAATTATGCAATTTGTTTCCATTTTATTTTAATGTTACATGAATAGGTACATGCGTTTGTGCTGTGGTAAATAAGTGTTCATGTGAAAATTATATCTAAAACTACATTGTGACTGCACTCATCTCGAAACTGAATGCTGTAAATCCAGGATTTAAATCTTTCATAGTGTTGCTTGGGGTAAATTGTAAAAAAGGTGTTGGACAAAACGTTTACAACCTAAAATTGCATGAAAAACCTCCGAGCAGGAGTGAAAAACACGATAGAAGAAGGAATTTTACCTTTATAACATTCTCTTTCAACATTTTTAAGTGACTTTGTGGTTTGGTGAATGGACTGTTACCACAGTCAAAAGATTCAAAGTAAAAAAAGTGACCAAGTTCTAATAAGAATACATAAGTTGAATATGAAAATGTAATTACTTGATTTAAATGTGATTTAATTAAGAGTTACATAGATGTTTCATATAACAAAAGTGTAAAATGTTAATAAATGCAAAACCATTATTAAAGAGAAATTAGTTATCATCAATAAGATATTTTGTAGTAGCTGGTCTCTATAAATAATAAACTTGAAAGACTGAATTAGTAGTCACTTTTACACTAGAAGTAAAAACAAAAAAAAATGTGTGGTCGAGACTAATTTGTGTATTTAATAAAAACATATTTAACATAAAAGCAGGTGTTATTTGAAATGTTTTATTTTAGTTTAATAATCTTTATAAATTGTGGGTACATTTGATCCGAATCTTGCAAATACTATAAAATGCATATGCTTCTATATGGTTAGTATTGGAGTAGAAGCACAAAAGTTTTGAATAAAAATATATTCTTTAAATACAATATTCACTAGATATGCTAATTTTGGTAATTTTCTATTCGAAACCATATATTGCTTGATTTGTTTTTGTTGTAGTCTGCTGTTAACACTATTGTCTTGAAATATTAAAAAAGCTAGACAAAGGTTTGTCCAACTCTTTTGTCAGCTTTGTTAATCTATGCTACTGTTATTCTGCATGCAGACATTTTTTACTGGAGATTTTCTCTAAGAACTGTATTCAAATTTCGGCCAGTTTTAGGAAAGTACCTCTGTTGTAAAGGTATTTCAAAGCCATCTTTTGTGAGATGTAGACAACAAATACATGCTAAAATGTATAGAAAACAAATCGCAAGATATTACACAAAATTATTTAAATTAACTAAAAACATACAAATGAAGTGAATATAGAAATAAATAGACTTAAGGGACTGGAGCTCTAAAAAAGGGATAATTTGTTATGCATCATCTATAATAAAATTGTCATCTCTTCAATACACCTTTCCCCTTATTCGATCATTTCGCATTACTCATGCGCGAAAAAGTGCGGGTCTTTTGAATCTAGTAATTTTTGAAGCAACTTATTTTCTCTCTCTCTCTCTTATCCTCCCCTATAGGGAATTATTGTTGTGTTGGCTACAACGGTTGTCCCCTCCATGGTTGTCCCTGTCTGTCATCGTTCCAATAACAATAACAGTGTTAGTGTATATTTTTGTTTAGTTTCATAGGAGTTTATAGAAAATATTTTTTGATTTTATAATCCCAAGACAATGCGTTGTTGTGTACCCACTTGTCCAAATTCTGGACCAAACAGAAAAACCGAACGTTTTTTTGCCATTCCAAGCAAAAATAATATAAAACATCACTGGTTAGCAGCAATAAAAATTAATCCTGACTTAATAACGGAGAATATCAAGGTAAGAATAATAAAAACTTACTAGTTGTAGTATCATATTAAATTTTGATTATAGTAGACTTACATAGATTTATGTTATAGGTATGTTCCTTGCACTTTAGAAAAGAGGATTGTTTTAATTTTTCGACAAAAGTGAAATTGAAGCCTGGAGTTATCCCCACTTTAAATAATGTAGAAACAACAGAAAATATTCATATTGAAGATAATCCAATACA